GACGAAAGCTCGTTCTATATTTTCGGCCTCATTTTGTTATTTAAAAATACATCTTACTGCCATGTTACTGGTCAATTTCATCACCATATTTAATTATTTGATCATGGCAAAACCGACCATTCAATACATCAAGACTTTTTCATGTTTGGCCACCAGAACGTGTCACGAGCTCGCTTCCAGGTCCTGTCCCGTCCCATGTGTCCACTAAGGGGGGCATCATGAATCAGACGTAGGGCCTCAGCCCTCATGTTAGCAGGCACAACTGCTAGCTGTTTTCGTCCACCGTTAAACATGTATCGCAGTATCCCATCCCGGCTAATTTGCAGTCGGCGACGGAACTGATACAGAAACCGGGCTGCATCTGACGACTTACTTGACAGCCGCTCTCCGCTGATCAGAGCTGCTCGGACCGGCGACACCTGCTGATCCATGCGCTGCTCCGCTAGCAGCTGCTCCGGCGAAAAGATGGTCGTCGTCAGATCTGACTCCAGGTCCAGCGTCTGCGCCTGTACGCTGCACACCAGGTCACCGTTTGGCCCCACTCTGGAAAGGTAGTCCGCGATCGTCATCTCTGCATGTTTGCCGGACTTGTGTACCGGCCGAATCTGAAATTGCTGCAAAAAGTCAATCCACCGACCGCGTCGACCGTGTTCGTCGTTAGCGTCGAGGGAGTTTAACCACCGAAGAGCCTTGTGATCAGTTATCAGGTCGAACGGGCCGTTAGACAGGTACACCCTAAATCTTTTGACTGCCAAAACAACTGCTAAAAGCTCCTTTTCGGTGGTACTGTACCTTTTCTCGTGTTGTGACAGAGCATGATGAAAGAAGCCGAGGGGCTTCAGATGCTGGCCATCACGGTTGGCAAGCATCGCCCCGGTTCCGACGTCGCTTGCGTCTGTTACGAGCGTGAACGGCTTGGTGAAGTCTGGGAGATACAGCGCTACTGCATCTGATACTTGTTGTTTCAGCTTGTTGAACGCTGACTTCATCTTGTCCGTCCAGTGCAGCTTCTGTCGACCGTCTTTGTCCAGGGCGTCGTACAGTGGCCGTGCAGTCTCGGCGACGCCGGGGATCCATCTCTGTACAAACGCAAACGAGCCCAGTGCGCGTCGCAGCTCGTGAACGTCACCAGGCATCGGCAGGCTTCGAAGATGTTGCACACGTGCCTCGCTCATGCTGACCATGCCGTTGCCAATGACTGCTCCCAAGTATTCGACGGTCTTCATTCCAAACTGGCATTTCTGATGTGAGAGTGCCAGTCCTGCATCTCGTATCTTCTCCAAAACTGAACGGAGGCGACGCTGGTGCTGCCCCCATGTTTCACCCCACACCAGAACATCGTCAAGGTAGCACAGTGCCTCGGTGTAATTCGACTCGCCGAGCACAGCTGACATCATCCGCTGGAAAGAGAAGCCAGCCCCATGGAGGCCGAACGGAGTTCGCTCTGCCCATTCGTAATGCCCCCAGGGGACCACGAATGCAGTAACCTCGCTATCTCCTGGTGATAGCGGCAGCTGGTGATAGCCGCACTTGGCATCCAGAACGGGAAAAAAATCTGGCGTTACCGAGCCGATCTACGAGGTCCTCCATCAGCGGGATCGGATGTAACGTCGAAGCGGCGGACTGAGCATTGACGCGGCGGTAGTCGATTGCCAGCCGCAGTCGTCCATCCTTGCGGCGGGCGCACACCACCGGAGCAGCCCACGGGCTGTGGGACGGTCTGATGACCCCCATCGACTCGAGTTGCCGAAGCTCCTGCCGCACTTCTTCCTCCAGGCGAGGAGACAGACGTCTGGGTCGTGACGCTATCGGGCGCGTGCCTGGAACGATATTGATACGGTGCTCCACATTCACACGGACAACTGGCAAGCGACCGCCGGTGTAGAAGACGTCGCTGAACTCTGCGGTTAACTGCTCGATGTCCGTACGCTGAGACTTAGTCAGATCAGGTCCGATATTGAAAGAAATGTCAGCTTTGCGCTCGTTCAGCCGCGGCGCGGCTTCCAGTACAAAATCTGTCTTAGCCAGGGCGATCACTTCGCCTCGTCTCAAAATTTCGTCATTTGCGCCCACATTTGCTACCTTGACCCAAATCGTTTCTTCGTGACTGGCCCGTACGATACAATATGATGCACAAACAGCCGACTCATCAGTCCCAACAGGTTCCAACAGGTATTCCTCACCTGGCTTCAGCTCATTCCCTCTCACAGGGACCAGCGCCTCCGTCGAAGGAGGAATGGTGACGTCGCGCCGCACCCTCAGATGGACGACCTCTGGCGAGCTCTCGGGGCGAGCCGCGCTGTGCAGTTCCAGCGTCACCCCCAGCTCCTCCAACACCAGGTGGCGCTGCTGCAGGTCGAGCTTGAAGCTGCCGAGACGGGCCCAAAAGTCAATGCCTAATATAGCCGGCACGATAAGTCCTCGCACCACAACAAAACGCTGCTCAGGCACGGTTACGTCACCAACTCTCACGTCGCGCCACACCTCACCGAGCACCGGGATAGTCTCGCAACTGACACCTCGGCCGCGGACGCTGGATGGGCGAATAGCATGTCGTTCACGGAAAGTTAGCTCATCCTCTGAAATCAGTGACCAGTCAGCTCCGGTGTCCACCATTGCTCTCCCCGGCGCCCCACTATTCCACTCAACCGAAACGTAGGGGGCTGAGCTGAGAATGCGGGATACATCAGCTCCCGCAGACTGGGGGTCCACGTCAGCTTCCACAGGACAAACGTGAGAGAAAACAAAATTAACTTCTGGTACCTGACGAGACCACTGTCGTACCCTTCGGGGGTTCACTTCAGTGGGCCCCGCCTGAGATCCTGTAGTAGGGGGGCCCACTACGGAAAATCCGGCTGCCACTGCTGCTCATCAGAGACGACCGGCGCCGCGGAGCCGGGGGTGACCGGTGCCGCGGAGCCGGGACCGAACGAGCGGCGCGGGGACCATGAGGGGTTCTCGGTCAGACGCTTCCGACAACTGAACCATCCGCCCAGGTGTGCAATATTACAGTAATAGCACCGCCCAATCGGCCGGTCACCTCTCCCCGCCCCACTGCGCGGAGCCGGGGGACGGCGGGAGTACTGACCTTGACCTTCCCGCTGGCGCGCCGGCTGAGCTGGTGCCGATCGCTGCTGATACCCGGTACCCCGCGCACCCCGGCTGGGCTGGGGAGGGCCGGTCGAGGTGGCGGTGACAGCTCCGCCATGCCCTCGCGTCTCGCAGTCGCCTGAGGAGAGGGGAGGGGAAGCCACGCTGCCCTCTCTGAGCCATGCGCCCGCGGCGCAGGCCCCGCCCACCTGATGACGGTGACCTGTGAGAGAGGCCGCCTGCTTCGCCGCCCGTGCTGTTTCTGCAATCTTAATGATCTCGTCATATTCCTTTGCGTTTGCCTCGTCCTTCATCCAGCGTTCATGTATCAGCCTTTCACGAATATCTCTATCCACCAGTCCGTCTAAAAAACGCCAGACAACTCGCTTGCGCTTTATATCGCTCGACTCACTTGCAAACGCATCTCCAGCCAGGCGCTGCAATCGCGTTAGAAAATCGGCCAAACTCTCCCCCTGACCTTGGTTCGCCTCCTCAAATCTCAGAATTCTCACCTCAATTGCCTCGGTCGTCACGTAACGGCGCTCGAGCCGATTCAAAATGCCCTCGTCGTCCTTCACCCACGGGGATCCTTGTGCCGCTTCCTCCCTCAGGAATTCGGCGGGCGCTCCGACAAGGCACAAACGTAGCTCGACGCTCCGATAGGCTGGATCTTGCCATAGCGCTACCCCTCGCGCGATATTGGCTTCTTTGACGAGAAGATAATGATCCTTGAAACTCCTCCACGCACTTGGTGACGTTTCTTCACCGAACGTCCTGCTAAGAGCCACAGAACGGCTCTCCCCACCGCGTACAGCTACCACTGCGTCCGGCGTAGGCATCGTCAGACGCTGCCACCAGTGAGACAGACCACGGTCAGGTCACGACTGAATGTATTTTCCAGCCGGGGTCAGACAACACTGGCGACACCCTGCGGCCAGAGGCCGTACCACAGCTTATCAGTTCACGACTAGGTGGCGGTCAGCAGGCCTGATGAACAGTTCACCAGTAGGCGGCGGGTAGCCAGCCTATCACAATTTCATTACAAGTTAGGAGTCAGGAACATGTCAAGGGTTTTAAGGTTACTGCAAGTGCAGCGAGTGCAGAGTTGTTTGCAGCAAGCATTTTTTAATTGGGCTAAAAAAGAAATCAGAGTTCTAAGGCCAAAGTCAATCTCCACATTCCTGAAAGCCCATGCCAATTTCATCATCAAGTCTTCTACCTTTTCTCCTGTCTTGTTGAAATTGAAGGTGAGAGAAACAGCAAAATAGTTAACTGTTAAGCAGTGATGTTTAAATCAACTGATAGAGGTTATCAATATTTGCTAGCTGATAATTTACCTTGACCACCTTATTGCTTATAGCCCCATGGTCATGTTGGGTCATGGAAGGTGTTCAGCAGTTTTTGCCACTGACTTTTGATCCAAACATGCTAGAGCACTGAAGGACACATTGAATGTGCTGAGCTCAATGATTTATGGTTGGGTGACTCATAAGCTTGATCTTTTGTCAAGTTTTGTAGTACTAGTTTACTTTTTAAGGTCAAGTTGTTGTTTGTGCAATGCTCTCGACAAGAGAAATATGATGCTGGTAAAATTACTATGCACGGTTTTGTGAAAGTAATTGCAGAAAAACGTTTCCACAAGCACATCATTTTGGCATGTTTGCTTGCCCTCTGGGGACTATAAACCCTTGACTTTAGATCAGATCTGGGGACTCAGTCATATACTGTCATCAGGTAGTGGGGTGCTAGGTAATCTCAGATCTTTAGGGTGTAGCTGCTAAAAAGGCAAGCATAGTAGCAAAAAGCAGCATTGAGGAAAACGGTGGCGTTGGCCGTTGAGCACTGCTTGTCTCGTCATGTGCACTCTTCAATGTTGTTTTATAAAATATCACTACCCCCTCTTCTTCCAGGAGCCAGCTGCTGTGCTAGTGTTTAGCGCGGCCTCTGTTGGAACAGCAGCCATGGCGGACGCTGAGCTCAGCTCTCAGGCTGACCAGCTGTATGAACAGATGGAATATGCCAAAATAGTGGAGATACTCGAGCCAAAGAAGGTACGCGTCCCTACAGCCGCTCGCTGATTGTTATCATCAGCTCTTGTTTGACATATGTACGGTCGTTTACGTCAAGCTTTGCCATATCCTTGAGATTGGTAGTCGGGCTTGATGATATTATAGATGCTTTTTTACTTGGACTTCCTGACGTAAAGAAGTAACTTGTGAGTGACCGAGATCTGTGTCTGTCTACAGATAACCTTTGGTTACTTTGCCGAAGCATTTATAAAAGGCGGGTCATTAAAGATTCTAAATTAATTACCTATTAACTCCTCTCTCTCTCTCTCTCTCTCTCTCTCTCTCTCTCTCTCTCTCTCTCTCTCTCTCTCTCTCTCTCTCTCTCTCTCTCTCTCTCTCTCTCTCTCTCTCACTCTCACTCTCACTCTCACTCTCACTCTCACTCTCACTCTCACTCTCACTCTCACTCTCACTCTCACTCTCACTCTCACTCTCACTCTCACTCTCACTCTCACTCTCACTCTCACTCTCACTCTCACTCTCACTCTCACTCTCACTCTCACTCACTCACTCACTCACTCACTCACTCACTCACTCACTCACTCACTCACTCACTCTCTCACTCTCTCACTCTCTCTCTCTCTCTCTCTCTCTCTCTCTCTCTCTCTCTCTCTCTCTCTCTCTCTCTCTCTCTCTCTCTCTCTCTCCTTTTCCCTCTCTGTCTCTCCCCTCTATGCAGGAGTGTGACGACGTGGAGCTGCTGTGGCGTCTGGCCCGGGCCATGTACGAGCAACACAAACGGCTCGGCTCGGACGCCGAGAAGCTGTCCTACCTCCAGCAGGGAAAGGTGACCGTGGAGCGTGCCATGCAGCTCAACGACAAGCACCCCAACTGTCACAAGTGGATGGCCATCTACCTGAACGCCATCACAAAGCTGCAGGGCTCGCGGGCGCAGATCGAACAGGGCCAGGTCATCAAGGGCCACATGCTGGTGAGTATCTGTGAGATGACAAGAAGAGCGTAATTGAATAATTACCGGCCGCTATTGTTGTTCACGGAATTTCCAGATTTCTTATGAATTAGGACTAACATGCAGGCAACGCTCAGCGCCCTCAGCCTGTTCAAAGTTACCCATTGAATTACCTGTTCGCGATTATTTTCGGGCTTCAAAATCTAGCCTTGCGTTTTGCCACTTCCCTTTCCAGTATCCTTTCTTGGTTCCTGTTCCTCCCTTCTCTACGATCTCTCAGTTGATGAGAGCATCCTCCATCGGTACCAGAACCAGAGTCCATTCCACAGCACCTGGTTACAGGCAAGTTTCCCATTACATTGCTAACCATAAGTCTAAATGAACATAGTTCTCGTAAAAAGGAAAATGGTGTTCCGATGCTAAAGTACGTACACCGGGAAAAATCGCCCAGCGGACAACCGACTCATTTCACATGTGTGTCATCGATCATGGATGTTCTGCAACTGTTCTCCCGCTTCCCTTTCGGTGAGAATCGATGGATCGAGAATCGGTTCCTCCTGACCCATCTCTCCCCCTCCGCCGGCCGTTTGCAGAAGGCCTGCGAATACGGTCCGTCCGACCCGACCAACTGGCACCTGATCGGAATGTGGGCGTTCACCGTGGCCGACATCTCCTGGACCATGCGCAAGCTGGCGCAGGTGATATTCGGCGAGCCGCCCAAGGCCACCTTCCAGGAGGCGCTCGAGTACTTCCTGAAGGCGGAGGAGGCCCAGCCGGGCTCCTATAGGTGAGCGCGGCTGCTGGAGCACGGCCCGGCTATGGTAATGCTATGCTACCTATTCCCAGGGTCACGACTGTGACACGCTGTCCCTGTTCTGTCCCTGTAGTGATGGTCGAGTAATATATCGCATGTTAGTGTTCTACTTTCATTTAGATTGTTTGAATGGTATGATAATTGATAGCTGTGCTAAATTTCTCTTGGTGTAATGCCCATTTAGGTTGTATCTAATGCATATTGCAAAGGAAACGCGTGATTACAAATATCCGAACTTTTGAATTAGGCAATTAAAGAGACTATCCCACCTTCTAAAATGTTGTTAAAACCAGTTAAATTGTGCCCGACTTTATAGATTGGATGAACAGGAACACGGTTCTGGCATTTATTTTTCATTAAACATCTTAGGCTTCCCATATTCCAAACACAAACTTTCAAATGTGTGACGTCACAGCCCAAAATTACCTCCTTCCCCAGGCCACATTACCGTCATAAAGCTGATTCTTTTTACTCTGTAGGCACCACAACAAAGTTCAGACCAAGTTTTAAGCGATTTTTCAACGAACAAACCCATTTAAATCAGAATGACTAAACGAGGTGACGTCACACTAACGGTCGCTCCATGTTGAAGATAGGGCCTTGTGCAAGGCCCATTTTCAAATGAAGGGAACGAATTTCTTCAACACCAAGAGGCCGCGGGGGTTGCAACCTAGATAGATAGTGGTTTCTGAACCTCGCCGCAAACTTAGCTATCTCAACTCAAACCCCATGTTAAAGGTGGGATAGTCCCTTTAAACGTCTGCGTGAAATTTAACATAAACATGTTCTCTTACAGTATGAATTTACTTATGATCGCCAAGTCGTATCAGAAGCTGAAGGACAACGACAACGCGATCGTGTACCTGAAAAAGACCCGGGATTACCCAGTGAAGACTCTGGACGACCAACAGGTAGGTTCCACTACGTTCTGCTTGTAGCTGCTAGCGATGTCAATTACTTACTTATGATTGAGAAATCGAAGCCGAAGCCAAACCAACGGCTAACTGAAACTATGAAAATACCAAACACCGAACCGATATCGAGAAAAAGAGGGGAATTTATGTTAATTACGGAATAGGAACATGAAGGCAGGCGTAAAGATTCATGAAACCAACAATATGTGACAGATATTGGGCTTAAAGTACCAAATACCAAATTGGTATCGGTTTGGTATTGGTATACCAACAATTTGGTATTTTATTGACATCTCTAGTAGGTGCCACATTTTCCACCATCATTAAAACACTTAGTCTAACCTCTTATTCGTTTAAATGCTCTCATTCTCCCCTTTGCTAACAAATGATACTATTCTTGCGTGATCATTTTTGCATTACTTAACAATTAATCATTTGACAATAAGCTTACTCTGAACTTTCCTGACTGCATAGGGCCAGTGCGTTGCTAATAATTTAAATTTTATTAAAGTTGTTTTCGAGGACAAGGACGTAGCTAATCTATACCCATTCTGCCGTGCAAAGGCAAAAACGATTACGTCAGGTCAGAGGTCATCACCTCAGGTCAGAGCCCAGGGGCCAGGGGTCACCCTAACGTAATCGTTTTTGCCTTTGCGCAGCAGCATCCCCTAGGCCTTATATCGTGTTTTGAAAGGCGGCGTCGTTTCAGGCTCACAAAGAGGCGGTGGACTTGCTGAAATACTTGGGAGTAAAGGACTGAGTCCGGGCCGTCGGCTGACGGTCTAACCAGCTCGCCGACAGAGAAGCTAGCCGTACTATATGATAGAGGGGCACACGGACGCCACACTCGGGTGTGAATGGACGGTGGGCATCGCCGGATAGTCACGTATCAGCACCGTCTCGAAGCTGCCCTTGTAAACAATTCAGCTGCCCTTGGAAGCGTAGGCCGCTTATGCCCGATCACCAATTGAATCCCGATTATGAATGGGAGGTTTACTATATCGATTTTGCTGCGGAATGAGTGGAAGTGGATATCATTCAAATATCACAAATTTCCGAACTTTTCCAGTTGGGCCGTCTTTCATCAACTTCAGACAGTCTGGATCGCTTTGAGATGTATTTTGAAAGCGATAAAATGGTAGTGATAAGCAAGCCAACAGCGACATTTCAGACCGCACTGTGATTACAAAGTGTTTGGTTGTTGCAAACTGGATTATGAGCGCTGTGTGCCATTGATAGTGCCGTGTTTATTTGTAGCGTGTTTTTTTTTGTGCCATTATTGACGAAAGACATTGGACTTATACATTTCAATGTGCCTTGCGCCAACTACGTGAAGGACTTTGCTTTCTTTGAAGCACCCTGCTCAATATATCATGACAGAACATTGAATAATGTCTTACCAGATATTTGTAGTCAATCATTACGTAGCTTAAAGTTGCGTTCGATCACGGTCCTGTATCTTTATTTATAATACATATATTCGAATCAAACAATACACAGCATTGATGGCACCGAGACCTCCCTGGCAAAGCCAACAAAACATATACATATAGCAGTCGCAGATAGCGACTTCACAACCAGTCTTTGATGGACAACATCGAGGTCGGAGATGGACACCTGACACGTCCGGTTTCCTAGATCAGGGCAGTCTCTGAGATCGACACCTGGCTCTCAGGGTCATCCAGCGAGCGGGTTGTAATGGTAGGACGGTACACAGCGCACCCGACCCTGTGCCGGGGACGGAGAGACCGGGGCCACGGTCGGGGACGTAGTGGCCAGGGCCGCGGTCGGCGCTCACTGGCCGCCCCAGCCGACCGGCCGACCTGTGCGCCGGTTCTCCTCCTCCAGCCAGTCGTGGAGCGGCTGGAAGTAGCGCAGCAGAGACTGGGCAGAGATCTCCCGAGAGCCGGTGATCACCTCCAGGGCGTCCTGCCACGAGCGGCCCTTGCCCAGAGACAGCATCGCCCTGCAGAAGTAGCCGTGAGAGACTCAGCTCGGTAGAACGGTTATACTCATCACTATCCAAAAGCGAGATATTATCAAGCCAGTTATTGATTTTAACACATTCACATCCATAGCCTAATCATTCATTCTTGGTTTTGAGTTTGAGTTATAATACGCTAAGAGCAGTTGGGTGAAATTAACGCGACTTTTGGCGCTGAATATCGATCCCACCTTTTAGCCTCTGCATAGATATGCCTACAACTAAAGAAGTCGAACTATGAGATCTATGTGAAGAACTCCTGTGAAATGTGACTTGTCCAACAGTATCTCAATTGTTAAACATGGCTGTGCCTGGTGTGCCAGCTGGCCTTACGATCAGCATTTAGTAGCCTTACATGAGCCTGTCGCCGGCCTCCCGGGACCCGTAGAGGTCGCATTCGTGTAGAGGTATGGGCAGCGGCGACCCGTACTTTGCCTCGCAGAGACCTTCAAAGAACTGCAACTGCAGAAAGACGGCCAGAAAATACCTGAAGACAACGCCAGAAATCAGCACAACCGCTAAACATCGGAAGAAGAGTCCTCGAATGCGATTGTTAAAGGCACCTGCAGGCTTTTCATTAAAGCATGTTAACGATGTTTCATTGTATATTGATGGAACACTAAAACCGAAAGAGTTTTCGGGGAGAAGAACATTGATTTTCGACCACATGTGTTGAATATTGGCTAAATTGAGGCCTGCCTGTCGCATGGTGGGGCTGGGCAGCTCCGCTATCCGCCGGCGACTCAGCGATCGTATCTACCTGATATGCGGGATATTATGTGCCACGTGGAACTTTGCTCCGGGATCCATGCCGTCGGCGTTGCAGCCGGCCTCCATCTGTTGCGCGGTGCAGGCGGGGTGTTGCACGCCGGAGAGCTGCTCCCGGAGCTGCCACCAGGCGGCGTTGTAGCGCTCGGGCGCCACCCTACCGGCGTACACCTGCCAGCGCCACCTGTCCAGCGACAGGCTGAACCCGATCAGAGGGATTTTGGCCAGCGCCCGCTGCAGCAGCAGCTGCAGGCTCCGCTCTGAAACAGGGTCAGACTCAGTCAGATCCTCCGGTGATGAGACTTACCAGTCGATAGTGGACATTTCGTGGCTGTTGTGCGGCGATTCGCAGTTTTCTTGACACTTGACAGGAACTGATATGAATCGACAAAAATTTAACCACGTTTTAGCTGCAATGGCCGCCACTTGTTGCGACGCAGCAGCATGAACACACATGATGTGATATTCCTAAATTGAAGAATCTGAAGGTTCAAGTGAATGTCACTATACAAGAGGGCGAGGTTAATGGCCACTTAGTTGTTTGATTTTCGACCCGGCAATCTATTCATTACGGGATTGCCCTTACATTCGTGGGAATTACAAATGACATCCTCTCAAGTATCAGATTCAGGTCATTACCATAGTAATCAATTGAACGCCTTTCGTCATCGTTTCTCACCTGGTGAGAAGCCATCGTCGTCGATGAGCCCCAGTCTCCGCAGGTGCGCCGGCCCGAATATCGAGTAGAAAAACGTGTCCCCTACTGCCTCGTGAAAGGCAGAATTGGCGCCGTCCTGCCGCAGCACAGACCAGTCAGGTAACTTGGGTAACTCTGATAACACGGGCCGGTCACGTGACCCAGGTAACTGGAAACGCGGGTCAATCATGACTAACCCAGGGTAAGACGACTTAATGACAGGAACGATCCAAGCAGCCAAGCAGGAGACACTATGTAATGTAGCTAACAGTGCAGTCGGAAGCAGTTCTTTCTGCGTGCAGGATATCTGAAGTAGAGGTGTCTTTCAGCTATGCAAACTTGGGGATACTGTGGGTAAAAATTACTCGCTATGCCAAGGGCGACCGTTTGGTCGTACGTACATACCCGTAGTATGGTGGGCAGGTGCCGGTACGCCATGAAGTACTGGATGTGGCCCATCTCGTGGTGGATGACGCCAAAATCTCGCTCGTTTCGCTCCAGGCACATCAGGATTCTGTGACACACGCTCGGGCGGTTAGACGCGCTGTGTCCGACCATATAAGGCACAGTCTTACGTCACCGTTCGAGATGGCATTCATTACAATGCTCAATGATCAATATTGGCCGGTGTCGCCCAGGGTAAATGAAATGGTCAGCACGTTTCTGACTCACCTAAAATCGTCGTCTGTGAAGAAGTCAGCAGACGATGCGTGGCAGGTCATATTGCGGTTGTCGTCCGGGCGCTGGAAGATGCTGTTTCGCCAGAATTTCTCAGTCATCGGTGGTAGTCCCAGAGACACGTAGAAATTTTCGGCCAGCTGCCCAAACAATCATCACATCAGATTTGACGTTGGTCTTTAGTTGGCTTTAGGATACGTTGGTTTTTGGCATTCTTAGGTATGGTAAAAAAATGATTATCTACTTCTCTGTCAGCTTCAGCATGCATGTAAACGGCTCAAACACGATGTAAAGTCCATCAATGAATACTCAATAATGCCACTGATAAAGAGGAGTGTGTCGAATTATGAATTGGAAAGATGGCATGTTGTTTTAGGGTGCATACAAATCATTTACAGTGAACATTTTGGTGTTTGACATTGGTCTTATGGCAAGCTACACTCCAGTGACTTTCCAACAAAACGCTGAATCATTTCGATCGTGATTCTCCGAAGATCTAAAGTAACTTTTGAGGGGAAGTTCAGAAAACACGCCACCCGTTCAACCAGCAATATTCTGTAGGCGACAAACCTTGACGAAGTCGGTGACGGAGAACTTTTCCGCGAGTTTTCGGCTCAGGTCCGGTCGCTGAGTTTCAGAGAGCGGGCTGACAATGTCCTCCAGCGACTGCCAGCTCTGAGACCACAGATTGCCTGCGAGCGGGATCACGAGACAGACACCAGTCACGACCGGCCTCTATGGGTTTCTGTAGGCACGTCTGCGTGAATGCGCTTCACAAATATTCGTGGATAGCACGGTTTCGACGTTGCGTAGATTAGATTATGCTAAATGAACTGAAGCAAGAAAAAGAACACTGGATATATGTAGATAGTCCCAGTTAAAGTTGGCCGTTTAAAAAACTCGTCCCATGTTCGGCTGAGGATGAAAACGGAGAATACGAGCGTAGTGGGTCGGGGAAGGGCCTTAACTGATGGTCCGGTACGGGGTCCTGCCGAGCAGATGGGGCCGTACCGAGTCGGGATCTTACCGAGCAGGTGGGCCGGTATGGGACCGTCGGCGGACACCAGTTGCGGCCCGTAGTAGCTGCGCAGCTGAGCCCGCACCAGCGCGTGCAGCTGCTGGTACAGCGGCTTGATCTCCTCGTACAGGCCGGCCGCGGTCTGCTCGATGTTGGGCATCTCCAGCTCGTACCGCCACACGGCGCCCATATCCGGGAACCCTGCGGTCGAACGGGGAGGGAGGGGGCTATCATCTGACGTCCATCAAGCTTGCGGTTTGCCGAAAGTGATTTGTGATGTTGTTTCCACAATAAGTTATCCGACAGGTGTTTTATTTACAACTGACAAGCGCCTGATTAAGATTTCCATCGTACCTTATTGCCGTTTTTTTTTTTTTTTAGACTGACATCCAGCCAATAAACTGTGACAATCCAAGGAGCGCCAGCCCAGCTGCATTAGCGGTGCTCGACGCTGACTAACCCGCATGTCTCGCTCCGCTGTTGAGTACGTCAATCAGCTGCGGGTAGACTTCCCTCATGGGCGGTCCGACGGCCTTCCTCCAGCCCGTCCAGGCCCAGAGCAGCCGGTCCGGGTCGCGGGAGGTCTCCATCAGCGTCTGCAGGTCGGGCTCGGCGTGGTAGCAGTGCTCCTGGTCGCAGACTGTGACGCTGGAAAAGGTCCGCTCCAGACGGACCATCAGCGAGCGGGCCGAGCTGTGGGGAGAGATGAAATGTAGGGATAAAAAAAAAATGTACATCAAGAACTGAAGGTTTTCAACGACTTGGTAATTTACTGGACACATGAAATGACTTACCTACAATGGCACATGCATTTAAAATGCAAGAAAAATCGCACAGTCAAGCTCGACTTTTTTATTGCCAAGACTGAGGAGTGATGATCGCATGTCTGTGCGATCAAGAGCTCGGGGTCATTTCGAGCCTGGCTTATCGGTCGGTCAGGTTTTATGCGACCGGATTTAAGCTGCCATGACAACACTCCATTACAGTGGCCGCCTGCAAATGGCAGATCCCCGCGTTCTAGTGTTTCGATGCCTTATTTGGTAAGCCTTCGACCCATTAAAAAGGCCTTATCCCAATGGAATGATGCATTATCTCGAATATTGGAGTGGCGGGCGGGGAAACGAATACGCAGTCATCATTAGAAGGCCCATCTGGGCGATCGAGCGCAGCCCGGTGTAAGGGCGGCGGCTCTCGGACGCAGAGCTCATTACGGACGCCGCCGGATATCGGCTCAGTGCGCTGCGCAACTAACCGCGGCTCCATTGTGAAATGTGTTTGGTCAACCCAATGAATAATAGAGCAATGATTCTTATCGGTGGGCCTGAGATCATATTTCTTCGTCGATTGGTACAACTGGCGGTCTCGCAAAATTGACACTGTTGACGCGATAGTGGGAATAGACAGTAAGGAATTTTATAACCTTGTATGTGTAGCAATTTTAGTACAGAGTGTAACATTATCTGTGTCATAAACTACCTTCGCCCGCTCTGTCACACTCCTCCAGCGGCGCTGTGACCGCAGCGTCCACTCACAAGTACATGTGCTCCGGGTAGCGGGGCAGCGTCCACTCACAAGTACATGTTCTCCGGGTAGCGCGGCCGGTCACTGATCAGACCGATCTGACGAGTCTGCAGCGGGGTGAGCAGCTCACTGAGACGCCGGATCTCCTGCGCCTCGGGCGGAGACTCGTCGAACGTCAGGTCCTGCGGGCAGCCGTAACAACGAATGGAGAAATTGCTGATACAGGTGTATTAGAAATAGTTGTGCCAATCCCCTGGATTTCGAAGAACGCGAGCGCAGCACGGAGACGACAAGCTGCTGCCTGTCATCAACATTCTTCATGCGGTAGCTATCTGTAACGCAGTACAGGGTTTTCATAACACGAGAATATCAAAAACATATCGTGTCTGAAAATGATAAAGTATCGCAGCTCGGTTTGATGTTATCTTCGCTGGCATCCAGTCATTTCCATTCACATTCCTTACATTTCAAGGCAGGCGCGTTGCCACGTGCCACTCCGAGGGTGGTAGCCGGCTACGGATGGTCTGAGAGATTGGTTATTCAACGTCATTGACGTTCGACCAACGTACGTCGATAAAATTTATCCACCCCACGTCAGTGATCGTCGTCCGGCGTCAGTGACGATTGCCCACATCACATCAGTGACGATTGTGAAGCGTCATATACAGCCGCACATCTCACGTCAGTGACGGTTGCCCAGCTTCAGTGGCAGTCGCCCACCCGACGTCAGTGACTGTCACCTGACGCCCAAACGACGTCAGTGACTGTCACCTGACGCCCACCCGACGTCAGCATCCTGCAATCGGCCACCAGACGCGGTGCCACTGCCGACTTTGTTTCCGCCGCCGCGGCGCATTTGTCTTGATTCGTGCGGACAGGTTGAGTCGCGGCCCGGCGGGGTCCCGGTGCCTCCTAATGGAGTCGAGCTCAGCTTCTAATCGGCTTTGGTTGCGAATCGTCCCAGCTAAGTCGGCAGACGTCAGCCCTGGAAACGTCCGCCACTGTGGGCGTGGGGCGGCAGCCAGGAGGAGGAGGAGGGAGGTCGGCGGAGCTGGCGGCTTTACATCTACACTTTGAATTATAATGGGAAAGTGGGTTAAAAGCTGGGATCAGATACAAGTGGAGCAGATCCCAACAGTCAGATGTGGTGCCAAAAATTCAATTGGTGATTAACTTACTTATTTGTAAGCCTCTGAAAGAATGGCTGAGCCTCCGGGAAACTTTAACAGTTCCTTTTTAGCTAAATTCAGCTTATTTGAATAACGGATGGTCTAGTCTCTTTGATGGACCTATGAGGGTGATAGCACCTCTACAAACACGAAGAGTAAACTCGCACCGCCGAAGCTACCGGCACTCTCAGACAGCTGTGTGGCGTAACACCACGAGCCTCCGCGTAACATCTAAGGCTGTACGAGTAGTTAATTTTGATTCATTATTTCATTCGATATGGTGTATGACTGGTGACAATATCAGGCTTGATGGCCGAGCCCGATTCTATGGAACTGGGAAACATATGTGTTTGAGGGTGTGCCCACGCTGAAGTGCCCACCCACACGGCGCGCGTTCAGCGGGTGTATTGCGGTACAGCCTACTATCCAGGCGTGATGGAGCTGCTGCCATCTGTGAGCAGTTTTGTGGACTATGGACCGCAGCGTAAGATAGCCTCGCACTCCGCAGAGAAATGCGCAGTGGGCGGGTTAGGGAGAAGCTAGTGGTAGCGTGGCTTAGTGTATATGTGTTTGATTAAACATATACACATGTTTTTTCCATTTTACAGCCATTTTCCAGCCATGATATAGTTGACTCGTCGGCCAAGGTGGCACACATTTCTTAGTCAAAAGCCTTCCTCTAAATTTTGACTAAATGGATACGGGCGCACCTTTACGCATCGCTTAGCCTTGTGCTGGTCTCTGTGCATCATTTAAACGCGTACCATTTGTCATTGTCTGTGAGCTGAAGCTGCCACGACGCAAGATTGATTATTTTCAAATTGTACGAGACTTCAAGCTATTTGATCTAGCTGGCAAGTGAAATAAAATGCAGTACGGAGGGTTGGGAAACTTGAACGCTACATTCTGCGACAGGTATCTGGCAATAAGAAATCTGAAACATGCGAGGTAATAGGCATGATATAAATACTTGGTGTCTACATCTGAGTCTGGATCGTCGACTAACAGATATCCCTACCATGGCCCTCCCTCCCAATATTGTTATTCAAGTTATAAAGATTTATCAGAGTCTATAACCTCCCAGCCATCTCCCGCCACCGCGTCCGTCTTTGTCCGAGATGATCAAGCTCAGTACCGAAAATACGATAGTTTCAATTAGTCTCTTGATTCAAAACACCTCTCTATGTAGATTTCAACTCACCTAGCTTCTCTTGCTATGGGCACTACTCGAATAACTGCACCTGCACATTTATCCAAGAAGCTCATCCGTCCATGCAGCTTCCCGCCTACTGGGCCGACTCACCCCGTCCCTACAGCCTGTACTGGGTCGACCCACCTGTCCGTAGAGCGCCAGTTTCTCCATGGACTGTCGTGTGGTGTTGACGCTCATGTCCCAGGCGAGGGAAGCGGTGCTGTGTCGCACCCTCTGCAGACCGGTGTTGTAGGCGTCCAACCAGACGTCCACCGCGTCTCGCAGTCGGCTGACTATGGAAGGGCGCGGACAGATAGACAGTCAGCATAGACGGACAATCAGCTGAGAAGGGCACCCAATATATCGAGACGGACACGCATTGTATCGAGACGGACAATCCTAATAAGTGATTCGAGAGGAACACTCAGTACTCAGTAGTAAGCAGAACAGGGACGGTTAGGAGACGGTCACATTGTGAGAAAGCAAGTAAACCAAGACGGATAATAAATGCATCCTGAGACAGTCACTTAGCAAGCGAGGACAGACACATGTGACATATAAGTGCATGTATGGCCTAAACTTTTGAATTCATTTTAAAGGACAGACACTCCATAAATGAGTTGGAAACTCATACAACTAAGACGCAGGTGGTTATACGCTTTGACTTGAAAATATTTGGTTTCATAATAACCAATGCATTGGCTGTCAACTTCACTGATGGGAAGTTTTTGATTTGATTGGCATATAGTGCTGATGCTTATTCCTCTGATTTTACCTCTTACATTTACATTTGAATCCTTAGGTGTCCTTAGGTGTCTCAATCTCAGCTCTAACTGAATATTTTCGTCATTACTTGGAATTCACCTATTTTTGTCACAATATATGTAAGTGTCATCCTCATATCTATGACCATTGACTACAGTTGATCCTTGTTTGGCAGACTTGCTCCGTCAATCCGGCTTTCCTGACTGTGTGTGGGCGGACGCCCAATAACCAGTCCATGCTCAGCTCTTTTCAGAGTCGTGTGTGGGCAGAGGAATCTTATCATCCGGATAATGGAACCATAATTATGGATGTCCTCTACAATTATCCATCAAACAAGGAACTGCTAAAAAAACACATGTTCGTTACGCCGATAAAACGTTTCAAGCTGAGCCAGCTTGGCCGAGCTCACCATCGGCTTTGCAGCCTATTCCTACGTAACTAAACAACCCACATCCCCCCACCCACGGCTTCTTATTCACGATAAATGTCTCAAAGCGGCCTGCGCCGTTGCGGGGTATCACTGGGAGCCGGCCGGATCCCGGCTTACCTATCCGCCGCCTCATTGCGTTGGCTCGGTCCGATGCACGCTGCGCACGGGCGCTCTGCTGCCGGCCCTACACCACCGCGCCTGCCGCCGTTTGCAGCCGCCACTATACCACACAATGTAGGAGTGTGACGGGGGACTGGGTGATGAGCTAGGAAAGCTGATAGCCTGTCTATTAGTTAGTCAACTGTGGGTCCCAATAGGTGACGTATTAGTTTCAGCTTCCTCACAGTAAGGTAGTTTACCAGACTCGGGGTGCAGCTTTACCTACCATAGTCCAGTGGAGATTTTTCATCTTCGTAAATGAAGGCAGAGCCGAGAGTTGCCGCCAGCAGAAGAGCAAGTGCCGATATCCATTGGCGTGTCCACACCATCGAGTTTGCTGTCAACTATGTATTTTCACCTGAAAAAGATACGCTTGTGTAAGTAAATAACTCACT